CAAAAAGTAAAAAGAAAAAAGAAACCAAAAAATACTTAAAGGGAAAGAAAAAAGTATATTGGTAGGAAACGCTTCTAATCTCCCTCCTATTTTTTCTGCCACACTTATCACAAACCTCAATTCAGATCAAAGGAAAAATGCCAAATGGAATTAACACTTGAACCAAGAACATAGTCAGAGCCAAGTATTGATTTTTTTTTTCCAATGGAAACCTATAAGACAGCATCAAATATGCAAGAGAGAGACAGAGAGAGAGGAAGGAAATGAGATGAAGAGAGAAGTCTGTGATGGCCAATAGAGTATGACCAACGATTTTCTCATGTCTCATCCTCTGCTGCAGTTTTCTTGGCAAAGCCCTGAATTAGCACTAGACTGTATTTAAATGGGCTTCCCAGGTGGGACTAGTGCTAAAGAACCTGTCTGCCAATAAAGGTAGATGTCAGAGACTTGGGTTCGATCCCTGAGTTGGGAAGATCCCCTGGAGGAAGACATGGCAACCCACTCCAGTATACTTGCCTGGAGATTCCCATGGACAGAGGAGCCTGGTACACTATGGTCCATAGCGTTGCAAAGTGTCAGACACGACTGAAGAAACTTACCACGCATGCACTGTGTTTTAACAGCCTCCCATGAAGAGGCTTAGAAAACTAAGTTGCATTTGGTTAAAGCTACTTAAAGGAAGCAGGTTAATATTTTCTAACCAGTGTCTAAAATAAGTGCAGCACTCCTGATGATTTCCTGTGGGAAGAGTACAGTTCTGGGAGACTGAAGTTCAATTCCTGCCCAGGGGAGGTAACTGACTGATCCCGGCTCACAAATGTTCAGCCAGTGGAAGTGAGCTGCATCTCACGGTGAATCTTTGTAGAGCCTCCCATCACACTGGATCACACACCCCTGTGTTGTTTTGTCGTCCACCTTCCCCCATAGAATGTGAGCCCTCCTTGGGCAGGGATGGCTGTCTCTTTCACTTCCCGATGTTATCCACACCAAGAACAGCGTCCGACACACAGAAGGTGCTCAAACTCTATTCATTCAGTGAATCAAAGAATGAATGCACCACCAGTGAGACCTCCAGGTCTGAAGGAGACATATTGTTTAGAACACGTATGGTGGTAAATGCAGGGTCCATCTCCCAGACCTCTGGTGCCAGCTCCCTGAGTCCTGAATTTTGGTCTAGATCACCTGCAGCCTCTCCTCCTCAGACCCAGCCAGCTTGGGAAGAGCCAGCAGAAGCAGGCAGTGCTGGCCTCCTCTGGATGGGACTTCCTACCCCACTAGACCAGGGTCAGACAGAGTGGCCTCTGCTTCTGTTCATGCCCATAACTTAGTCTTCCAGTTTTTCCATTAGTCATGTAGGAATGTGAGAGTTGGACCATAAAGAAGACTGAGTGCTGAAGAATTGATGCTTTTGAACTGTGGTGTTGGAGAAGACTTTTGAGAGTCCCTTGGACTGCAAGGAGATCCAACCAGTCCATCCTAAAGGAAATCAAGTCTGAATATTCATTGGAAGGACTGATGCTGAAGCTAAAACTCCAATACTTCGGCCACCTGATGCGAAGAGCTGACCTATTCGAAAAGACCCTGTTGTTAGGAAAGGTTGAGGGCAGGAGGAGAAGGGGACGAGAGAGGACGAGATGGTTAGATGGCATCACCAACTCAATGGACATGAGTTTGAACAAACTCTGGGAGATGGTAAAGGACAGGGAGGCCTGGCCTGCTGCAGTCCATGGGGTCGCAAAGAGTCAGACATGAGTGAGTGACTGAAAATAGCAACAACCTAGATTCATAAAGATGACATTGAGTGTTTAGAATAGGAAATGTGTTGGAGGAGATCATCAAGGGGGCATGACCCTCAGTTGACTCTCAAGGTAGATGCCAGCAGTGGAGGCTCCTCCCCCTCTGCCATCCTTGGAGGGTGTGTCTGCCCACTTTTCCCACAGTGAGATGGTGTAAGACCATCTGGGGTGAAGATCTACTCAACAGTGGTGCCCAAGACAAACCTCACAAGTAAGTCCCTCCATTTAATTAAACTGTGATGACCCAGAGGGGTGGGATGTGAGGTGGTGGGAGGGAGGCTCGACAGGGAGGGGATATATGTATATGTAGAGCTGACTCACACTGTTTTACAGCAGAAACCAACACACCATTATAACGCAACTGTGTGTTCAGGCGCTTCAGTCATGTCTCTTTGCGACCCCATGGACTGTAGCCCGCCAGGCTCCTCTGTCCATGGGATTCTCCTGGCAAGAATACTGGAGTGAGTGGGTTGCCATGCCCTCCTCCAAGAATGCAATTATACTCCAATTAAAAATAAATGTTTAAAAAACTGCCACCTGCCAATCTGGAGTGACTGCCTCTTTCTTCCCTCTCTCCTTGCCCTCTGGGTACAGGGACCAGTTGGCAAACCAACAAAACATTTATTCAGCAGTTTTTGAGCATCCACTTCTGGTGACGTTCTGTTCTCCTCCCAGACTGGCCACTGGCTTAACCGGAGAGAAAAGTCTAGTGCAAAAGCAATTCTTAGACTATAGGATTGTAAGTCTGTAATAAGGATCATAATCAATGTGCAAACAGATTTCTTCAAGTTCTTTTCTTGTCTCCTGCAGTGCACACATGCACACAGGATTCAGATTTTTACCCATCTCCCTTCTAATTTGCCTAATATAGTTCACATCAATGTGTCCACAAGAAAATATCATGACGCACCAATGTGTTCCTTTGCACATATAATTAGGTATTCTTCTGGCAAACAAATAAACTCCTAGCTAATGCAAAACTTGTTTTCAAAATGTTTTTTTTTTTCTCTTTTTCTGCCTGGAGCAGACTTACAAATAAATATTGAGTGTGCCAGGAAGTTTCTCAATTATTCATGTGCTGAACTTTTTAAGCATATCTGGGAAAGACAATCTCCTTGAATTTACCTACTTGCCCAAAAGCTATGTGTTATTTACTGGCAGGAAAGAGATTCTCCATATTCATTTTATTCACATGTCAGTAGCATGTTTCCAGGTGAAGTATCTCAAAATGCATTTTCAACCACTTAATTTCACCCTAGTTGATGTCTGTCTTTCTTAAGCCCAAATTGAAAGGCTCCTTCCCCATCAATTGTTAAAGCAGAGGGCAGAGATACACACCGTAAACATCCATGAGCAGACACCTATCCATCATCATTCATGCCACAAGTCACGAGGGAAGTGATTCGGTGAAGAAAGGGCAGTATGGTTAGGGTATGAAATGCTATTTCTTGCCAAACACAGTCATGACCTTGGCAATCACTTAACCCCTCTGAGGCTCTATTTCCTCATCTTACAACTAAAACCTTAGAAAAGTAATATTTACTCTGCTTGGCTTGCCAGGCTGAGGCTGGATAAATCAAAATTTTCTATGATTTAAGAGATGATTACATATGCCTATGAAAAATCCCTACTTTCCCTAAAGCTGGAATTTGCATGCATCTCCCAGAAATCTGGGCTTCCCTGATAGCTCAGTTGGTAAAGAATCCGCCTGCAATGCAGGAGACCCCGGTTCAATTCCTGGGTTGGAAAGATCCCCTGGAGAAGGGACAGGCTGCCCACTCCAGGATTCTGGCCTGGAGAATTCCATGGACTGTATAGTCCAGGGGGTTGCAATGAGTCAGACACGACTGAACAACTTTCACTTTCACTTCACCCAGAAATCCGGGAAAATTCCAAGGATAGGGGAGCCTGGTGGGCCACAGTCTATGGGATCTCAAAGAGTCAAACATGCCTGAGGCCACATGAGTACATTCCCAGAAAGCAAAACAATAACCATCCCTGACTGAGACAACTTTCCTGAGTTAGAACATACGGTTCCTTCTTCTAGCTGATGATTTCACAAATATCTAGCATCCTCCATTGAGGGTTGTTAGGAAGAACTGGGGAGTTTCAACGTGAAACCAACCAGGCCACACCCATGGTCTGTTACACCAAAAGATGAGCCTTCTCATCCACCACGCCAGCTGTCATCCAGGGTGTAAATTGAGTGGACAGGCTCTCCAGCCATGATGCACCAACAGCTAAGACCCTCTGCCTTGAGGGTCATTAGGCAAATCTCTAGACATCCTCCCATAAGAAATTTACTCTACCCTCTAGTGGATCTAGTTGGTCAAGAGTCCACCTCCCATGCAGGAGACCCAGGTTCAATCCCTGAGTGGGGAAGATCCCCTGGAGAAGGAAATGGCAGCCCACTCCAGTATTCTTGCCTGGAGAATCCCATGGACAGAGAAGTCTGGCGGGCTACAGTTCCTGGGGTCACAAAGAGTCAGATACGACTCAGTGACTCAAAAAAAAAAAAAATCTAAAGCAATAAAAGGAGAAAGGTGGACTTCTCAATCATAGCTATTGCTTCCTTTCAGATACACTCATCTGTAACTGTGGCCTGGCATTCAGTAGAATCTGGCTTTCCCTCTGCAAGTGAGTTTCACACGGGGAGCCGAGACTCAGACAGCAGTCGTTTCTCAAGGACACGCAGGTAGGAGAAGGGCCGAGATGAAAACCTGGTTCCTTGTCTCTAAATGCAGTGTCTCGGCCAAGGTCAGATGCTTCATTCAATCACTTGCTGGACAGGTCGAAAGTTAAACACACACTGGATGCTAGGAGAGAGGTGGAGAGACAGGAGCTCTGCCTTCAGGAAACTCACTGGATTAAATCTTTGGAGATCAGGTGTTTTCCGGGGAGCCAACCAAATACCTTCTGGAGCAAGACTTTGATCCCCGCCTGCCTGACGGGAGGTCATCTAGTCTCCACTTAAATGCTTGCGATCAGAATGCCCCAGTCCTACATCAGAATGCTTAGAGAAAGTTCTCCTTGGTCTCTGTCTTCCTCTGCCTCCCAACTCCCAAAGGTCACCTGAGCCCCCACCTCTGATCCAGGTGGGACCTGCTATGCTTGTGTCTGAGAAGAGACGGTACCGCCTCCTGGCGGCCCCCTCAAGGCTCGACAGAGCCGCAAGCCAGGCAGTGCCGCCTTCTCTGGATCAGCTCAGAAAGCGAGAGGGGAGACGTTCCTCTCTGCTCTCCGGCACGAGGAGGTGACGAGGAGGACAAACCGTGAGCACAGCTGAGACACAGCGAGGCTCTGGCATCCAGCATCCTTGCCGTGACCTCGCCTGCCCCGGAGATGCTGCAGCGCCTTCCTCCCAGTGTCACAGCCCTCAGCCTTCCTCTCCCCCAGGTAGGAACCTCTCTCAGCGAGGGCCCGGGAGTCATCACTTAGAGCGGCTGCCAAAGTTATAACCCATGTGGTTCACACCAGAGAGCTCTATCACAGACTTTTAAAAAGCACTGTACAAACAGGAGGAAAATTAGAGAGGAATCCATTTCCATCCTTACCAATAACTCTCAAAGACTGCTTAACCTAGGAAGAGGAGGTGTAGTCGCAAAGTCATGTCCAACTCTCTGAGATCACTTGGATTGTAGCCTGCTGGGCTCCTCTGTCCATGGGATTCTCCAGGCAACAATACTGGAGTGGGTAGCCATTTCCTTCTCCAGGGGTTCTTCCTGACCCAGGGATCGAACCCACGTCTTTTGCATTGGGAGGCAGGTTCTTTAGCACTAGCGCCACACAAGAAGCCAGCTAAATGTAATCTGACTCCTAATCCCTAACAGCGGTTCTCACATCCCTTTTTATCTTCTCCAAGAGTCTCCCCCATCCTATCCCCATAGCCCTCTCCATCGCACTCCTGTGTGCCAAGCAAACAAGATGACACTCCCTGCCCACTCTGTTCAGCCTCTGACACCCCCCAGGTGTCCTGACTTCCTCCTTCTGGCTCCAGCCTTCCACCTCTCTCCTTGTTCACCTGTGCTCTCTAGTGCCTGGAGCCCTGCCCTTTGGGGTGGGGGAAGAACCCACCAGAAATAGAAACCTTGAGGGCCAGAAAGAGCAAGGCTGGGAGCATCATCGTGGCTTTAGTCATGTCCAACTCTTTGTGACCCCCAAGGACATAGCCCACCAGGCTCCTCTGTCCCTGGGATTCTCCAGGCAACAGTTCTGGAGCCGGTTGCCCTGCCAGTGTTTCATCAAAGCCACTCAGCCCAGGTGTGATAGGTGTTCTATTATCTTTATTAGCCTCAAACTCATGTGCAGTCATGGGAAATAGGCAGGAAATGATTTCTAAGCAAACTGGAACCACTTTGCAAGGATGACTGTTCATCAGCCATAGGGAAAGACCAGGAATTTTCTGAAGAGTATTAGAGTCTGGCTCTGCACTGGTTATCAGAAAAGCTTTGTAGAAAAAAAAAGAAAGCTATGATAAGTCCTGGGAGGGCTTATGGAGGTCAGGCAATCGATAGTCTCAGCTTCACTCTGTATCACAGGGAAACCAGTGGAACAATGAGCACATTTTGTGGTTAGTTCCCCAGCCCTGGAGGTGTGCTGAGAGTGGGTAAGCCTCATTACTGTCAGAACCCCCACGCGGATTCCCTGGCCTGCAGGGGTGAGAGCTGTAAAGATAGAAGAAGACAACAGGAAGCCCCAGGAACTGGCTCTCCTAGGCCAGCAGAGTAAACCACGAGCATGTGCCGGGGGCTTCAGGCACAAGAGCCTGCAAAGTGGGAGGAAACACACCTGCCTTACCTGTCTGAAGGGTGCAAAACCCAGACAAGCCTTAGAGGACTGGGGTTTGTCACACACTTAATCAAGCAGTGATGCCCATCATTTCTGTGGTCTCACAGTGACAGACTTTATTTTGGGGGGCTCCAAAATCACTGCAGTTGGTGACTGCAGCCATGAAATTAAAAGACGCTTGCTCCTTGGAAGAATAGCTATGACCAACCTAGACAACATATTAAAAAGCAGAGACATTACTTTGTCAACAAAGGTCCATCTAGTCAAGGCTATGGTTTTTCCAGTGGTCATGTATGGATGTGAGAGTTGGACCATAAAGAAAACCTAGTGCTGAAGAATTGATGCTTTTGAACTGTGGTGTTTGGAGAAGACTCTTGAGAGTCCTTTGGACTGCAAGGAGATCCAACCTAGGACCTTTAGGAGGTCCATCCTAAAGGAAATCAATCCTGAATATTCATTGGAAGGACTGATGCTGAAACTGAAACTCCAGTACTTTGGCAACCTGATGTGAAGAACTAACTCATTAGAAAAGACCCTGATGCTAGGAAAGATTGAAGGCAGGAGGAGAAGGGGACGACAGAGGATGAGATGGTTGGATGGCATCACCAACTAAATGGACATGAATTTGAGTAAACTCCGGGAGTTGGTGATGGACAGGGAGGCCTGGCGTGCTGCCTTCCATGGGGTCGCAAAGAGTCAGACACGACTGAGCGACTGAACTGAACTGAACATGTGGTAGCTTACTGAGGCAAATCAACATCTCTCTACCACCCAGTATACAGCGGCAGACCTGGCATGTAATTTTCTCCATTTCTATCAGTAAAGGTTCTCAGAAACAACTCATTCTCATGTGGCAGGAGCATCAGCACACCTACCTGAGCCAACTCTCCTGTTTGGGTCCTAGGATACATCAGAAGGAATTGAATGTCTTCATATCTCAACCAGTACTCCATCACGTTGATGACACTGTGCTAAGTGGATCTGGTGAGAGGGTGAGAGATGAGCCCACAAGAATTTGGAGGCCTACCGTACTGGTAAAGTTTCTAGAGATGAGATATGTCAAAATATCCCCTCTAAGCTGAAGATACATTGTGACACTTTGTAGCACCCATTTCAAAGAAATAGACACAACTGTTGATGGACTTTTTGCTTCTTGAAAGCTAGGATATGAAAACATGATCCTATAACATGATTATTGAGTAACCCTTACGATGGCCAGTTTGGGGGGTGGGGTGCAGAGAGAGTAAAGAACAAGAAAATCTACTGCTTAGACTCCCATGTGATATCCAGGAAGTAGTGCAAGCTGTCTTTTCACATAATCTCTGTGTCAAGACATGCAAGGGTATTTGGGATACCCTTCATTCCCATGAAGTGTGTTTCCTATGTGTGAGGCAGATAATATATTTTATAGCAACTGAAAAATCCCAATGAAAGAATCACTGCATAATCCCTTGGGTTTGGGAATGAAGTCGTGCCTTTTTCTGCCAGTAGCAACCCTCCCCTTGGTGAGCAGTTCCTGGTTTCCTACTGACCCTACTGTGCTTGACCACAAGGCACCAAGGGATTGCCCCAACATCACTGTTTTTTTCCAATCTAGCATCTCCAGGTGGAATGGTAATACATTTGGATGCATGGTGCAAATCCATCAGCAAACCAGACCTTCCCCTTTGTTGACTTTTCATAGTGAACCCTCACGAGGCCACAGGTGGGTGCTGAGGGCAAAGCTGTAGACACAGAAATGCACACAGGTGCCAGGTGAGGAAATGACCCAGTCCCTTGTGCAATTAACTTGTGGCTATTGTTATATATACCATTTCTGAGGGATAATTGATTATTACTACTAATGTCCAAACTGATGATTTTGTAGATCAGGAGAAAACATGCCATTGATGGTGGGCAGTTTGAGGTGGCTAACCTTTTAGTTTTGGGATATTGACTCCACACCTTAATAGATGCGGAGGCTCATGGAGCTGTGCTGTCCCCGGTGTTGACAGCACATTTATTTTACTTGAATGACAGATGCATAACTGAAGGTTCAGAGTGGACAGAAAGGATGGACTGTGCTAGACACTTTCATTATGCCATCCAAACCCACTCTCTGGCTTTCTTCAATCTGCTGTGTACCCTGGGAGGCAGAAGTAGATGGACTTGATCCATGGCTCACTTGCCATCTGGCTTCTGGTTGGTTCAGATGAACGGGAAGGATTGGATTGGGGAACAGAGTGAGATTACTTATTTCCTGGATTCCTCTGTGATGGGTCATTATATTATCCTAGGTTGAAGTGAGTTTCTCTACCTGACCACAGGCCCCGTCAAGAAACCCTCTGCTACAACAACAGCTACTATCTGTGATTTCTGGTCAACTTTCCCCTCCTTAAACTTCAGCCCTGAGGATGCTAATGGCTCCCCCATCTTGCTAGGTTTCCAGTGTCCCAACTGTTGCTCTTGGTTTCCTGTAGCCTTGCTTACAATTTTATAAATAGCCTCCTCATTAAACCTTCCTCAATTACCCACTGAGAGTGGCATCTGTTTCCTGTTGGAGTGTAAGGTATCTGATACACATTCAGATCAGATTCTCAGAGCAAAGCTTCAAGTAATGAGAAATCAGCAACAAGCACAGGTTTACATGGACTCTCTTAAATAACTTGAGGCAATAAGGTGTTCACACAGGAAACCATGATGTATTTGGAACTGAATGGCAAAAAGTGTACCACATCATAGCCACTTATGGTAGAATGAAAAAAAGGAAATATGTGAGATCATAAAGAAAAGATTAAAAGTAAAAGTCTTAAGAACTTAAAAGCTTAGATTAAGCCTTTAATAAGCTTTTGAAAAATAAGGCAGACATAATAGACTGGAAACTGGTAAAGTAGGGGAAAAAAAAAAGAAACAAACTTGAGCTTCAGCAAAAGAGAAATTTTCTTTTTAAAAACCTCTAGGAGGAAAGATCAAGCAGAAAAAAGAAAAGGAACAAAAAAATCCCTTACTAGGTGAAAGTGAAAGCTGCTCAGTCATGTCCGACTTTTGCAACTGTATCGTCCATGGAATTCTCCAGGCCAGAATATTGGAATGGGTAGTCTTGCCCTTCTCCAGGGGATCTTCCCAACCCAGGGATCAAACCCAGGTCTACCTGCATCACAGGTGGGTTCTTTATCAGCTGAGCCACAAGGGAAGGCCAAGAATGCTGGAGTGGGTAGCCTATTCCTTCTCCAGGGGATCTTCCCAACCCAGGAATTGAACTGGGGTCTCCTGCATTGGGGCCGGTTCTTTACCAACTGAGCTATGAGGAAAGCCCCTTCTTACTATGTATCAAGACTTATTATAAAACTGTAGTAATGAAAACTCTGATATCAATACCAATATACATAATGGAGAATAATTATGAATTATAGAACATTGATAAAGGATGTTACAAATCAAAGGAGAAAAGCTAAGCTATTCAATAAATGGAACTGGGAAAACTGTTTATTCATACATTAAAAAGCTGATACCTATGTCACACCACCAATAGAAAAAAAAAATTAATGAACTAAGTATCAATATGTAAAAATAAAACCCTCAAATCTTACCAAAAAATTAAGACAGTGTCTTGAGGGAGAAAAGAAATTATTAAACAAGTGACAAAAATCACAATCAATGAAGAAAAGTATGGATA